GTACTTCCTCGACTAGAACTTATATAATTACTATACCCATCAATACTAATGCCGTATTCGATGAGTGATAATTATGTGTTAACCGATGACAACGACTTCTAATCAAATTTATTGGACATTTTTCTTATTTTCCATTTTCCGTCAAAACTTTAGTTTATACAAGTTTTATACTCTATGCAATCGATTATTTAGCAACTCTGAAATTATTTGCATGCAAGTACTTTATATCGTATAGAACCATGACACCTACGAATACTCGCATTTATGTTATTTACGTTTTTTACAAATATTTTAATCGTTAGTATATGAAACAGAGACGAGTAATCAATAAAAATATAACCTGGCAGTTCTTTGAACGACAAAGTATCGATAAGTCAATATATTTTTATTTCTGAGGGCCTGGACAACTAAATGTTATTTGATCTGCTCTGTTGCTTCATTCTCTCGTTTCCTTATAAAAGCCGAATCATATGGCCGAATAATTTTAATGAAACATGTAATGATGAGGAAAATATATACGGTACACGTTTTTGCTTGGGAAAGGCATTTTCTATGATCACCAACCATAGGTACATGTAGGTAGTGAGGTGATTGTTATTGGCACCCTGTAGGTAAATATTCATTGAAAATAAGACGCTTTTAGCTCATTGATTAACAAATGACTTGAAATATACCAAGCAGGTGTTAGCAAATAATATATTCGATTCGGACATAATATATATATATGTTGTATTTTATGAACTTTTCCTTTAAGGCATAGTACTGTTTAGTGCACGTGGCAGCAGCACATATACAAAAAGTTAGAACAAATAAAATTTATATGCAACACACAGGATCACTGAACTGAAGCAAAGGTTATACATGGAATCACGAAAGGGAAACTACTTCTTGTGTCATTCGATTATACATTTTCCAGTATTCCAGGCTGTGATATTCGTGAATATTACAAGTTAATGCTTAATATAAGGAAACTTTTTCTTTCCTTTTTTTTCTATAATTTCCATCTCTTATGTCATTCGGTTGTTTTTTTTTTTTTTTTTTTTTTTTTTTACAATATATTACAAAGAAATACATTTCTATGGTTTCTATGTCTTATGTCATTCGATAATACATGTACACTTCCTAGTGTTACAGGCTGTGAAATTCGTGAAGTTTTAAGTTAATGCTTAATGTAAGATGCATTTTTTTTTATTTCTTTTTGTTTTTACAATATACGTTTAATGCAAAGGAGGAATATATACATGAAATTTGATTCAAAAAAAGAAAGTTTTGCTTTGTATAGTGCCTACTCAATTGGTATTTGCAAATTGATATAACATGTGTATTAAGACATTTAGTACGCAGAGCAAATAGTACAGGAGCTCAGCCCGATGTACATGTGCACCCGTGGCATTTACTTAATCGTTGTGTTCACGCTTTATAAGATTTATAATCAAGTTTCTTAAAAGCTTTAGGTACTTCCATGATATTATGCTGGTTACATTATGTAGACTTAAGGAATTTACACGAGCTGATTGTAAACGTCTCCCTCTGGAGTGACAGTTTAAATATAGGATTCGATTTATCTGTCAATGTGTTTACATAATAACCCCGTCCTTTGCTTTTATTCGTTGCCCAGCACACGACAACACATCATTCTGCCCAAGAGTTGGAGACTCCGGTGAGGTAAGTATTCTGTCTTACGTGAGATGTGGGGGGTAGCTGGGGCTTACACTACCCCATTCGTAGTTCTATATAGTTCCCCTATGTGTACAGTTCCTATACAAATACAAGGCGATAACTTGTTGAACATGTTAACGATACTATTGTCAGACCCTTTGTGATATCCTGATAATACATACTGTTTTGTGACACGGTGTAAAGATTATTGTGTAGATGGAATAGTTAAATTTAAAGGTGCTTGTGTAGCTCTGTCATTTGCTTGTACCTGGTGTGTGTGGCAGGGAAGTTCGGGAAGTCATCGTGCTAACTGGTAAGAGATGTTTCATACTAACTATATAGGATATGTACTATCATACTGACTTAACATAATGTCACATCATATTTACTATAGTGTCATTTCACAAGGGTACTGTATATGATGCTATAAATATACTAGTGAGGCAGTACTGCGGTGTATTTACATGATATAAAATGAAATGTGGTAGTTATATTGAGGTAGTACTATACATGACACGGTTTAAATAAAATATGGTCTAACTATGTTTTATTAACCGTTCGTGTTCAGGTATTTGTATATAGTAGTCATGTCAATGAGATGAATGTTATTGCCTTTTTGCATCTGTAACAATAGCCTATGTAAACCGTGTAGTGAGATTTGGTTGGTGTCAATGGTAACTGATCCTATCTCACTAATTGAGTCTCTAACCTAGTGTTTTCTGTAAACGATTATCCACGTGTACGGTTGCGTTGTCGTCAGCTTGAACAGTATTTAATGCGATATCAACAGCTAACAAGTGTATTTGCTAGCATATAACAGTGATATTTATGGCAGTGCAACAACAGGATGTAAGCTATGCTTACTGAGTGATCACCATGATTTATATCTTTTGTATAGTTCTTAACTACAAATATGTCGTATAAATCCATGGTATAAGGTAACTGATTACGCTAAGTTGATTGATCTAACCAGACGTTTATCATCAGGAGGATCTGTGCTCATGCACACAGTACTGGCTGATCGATAACGCCATTTAGATGTAGTATTGACTTTTACCATCGATCTTCACATTTCTTTCATTCCTTCATGTTATGACAACGTTAGATTATGACCTTCTGCGTTTTATACTATTTCGTGTTTTTGAAGTTGCGTAGTAACTTTATCACAGTGATACCATAGCTATGATAGTAACAAACCATCTTATAGACCGATAATTTGTTTCTACCGATCTTGTTTTGTTATACATTTTTGTCTATAAAACATTATCTCACCAAGAAAAAAACAGTGTTTATTCCGTCATATTCTGGTCACAGTCCTTTGTAAAAATTGACTATGTTTTAAATTACCACTAGATTTATTATGTCGATTTGTTTGCACCATGTAGGCATACGATGCATTCAATATACAATGTACATTGTACATGTACCTGGGTATAGAGATGTGAAGGCCATATTATAGCTATACAAATACACGATGTATTCGACAGAGGTCGAAATACCGAAGGTTCACTCTAAAACCTCTTTGAAGTACCTGTAGATAGAGTCTGGGATAGTTTTGAGTTATTGTTTTGATGTTTTGGCCGACAACATATTGGCAGTTTAGTGTCCCGACACTGATAGTGCCCAAGTGTCAAACACAGGTAGTAATCTCACGGAGATTTATCTATATAACACCACCCAATATAGCTTACACACACTCACCCTTTCTTATTCTAATTTGTTTGGTGATTGTATGGTGGACTGTTAAAGGCTAACAGAATGACAGGACATGTTTAAATCGTTTCAATAAATAAATATAGGCTATTCCGCTATGCTAGTTAAACTTAAAGTACACCAAGTGATCCGACCCAGAAACCTATAACTACTCGAGATAGAAGTAATGTTCACAGTCTTTGTGTAGACATTTCTATAATGGCAAAATATAAACTACTGGGTATCGAAATGTTGTTAAAACCGTAAGCGTCAACTTAAAGACGAAGCACATTTTATTTCGTGACTTCACATAAAGCGTTTGTAAAGGCAAGACTCTTAAAAAAGCCTTATATCAATCCTCACGTGCATGTACACAATATAGTAATTTAGAAAGGGTTTTGAATATACTTTAAGAAATATCAATTAAAATATTGATAAGTAATGTACCATTTTCGTCTTTCGCATATATATTAATACTGTATGACCTATGCATTAGAGTATACCTTGTTATCTAAGTCTGTGTAGTACATGTATGACCCACTACTGACCTAAACGGGAGAGGGGGCTAGATCTACACCCAACCACTAACGGTGATTAATATACACTCTCTATCGATAGGCGAAACGTTTTGTGTCGAGTGACACGTGAAATATGAAACTTACAATTTCATTACATCGTTGTATACTTAAACAATACAAACAGCTTAATAATAGGCCAGTCGGTCTTGAAACGTTGCGACACGTTTGATACGTACATTGTTTGTGTATCAAATAAAGCGTTGATATTACGTATGTCCAAACTGATGCATCTTATTGAAAATATATAAAAACACATCTTATAAAAACATTGTAAACCAATAAAACTGATAGCATATGGTTTTTATGGAGCAATAGTGCAGGGTTATACGGATATCATAGTTACCCAAAAATGGTATATTTTTTGAATATGTGTTGCTTCAGCTGATATACAAGTGACTTATTTTAATCTGGATATACACAGATATTTTGATTGATTACCAATAGTTCAAAGGGTGCTATATTTATCGTAGAGTTCACATTAACACACATGCATGCTCCTTTGACAGACGTACCGCCCAAGTCAAACATTTTCTCCTTAGTATTTCTATAGTTATATACATAGGCATGGATATCGATGTGCTTAGTTAGTTCAGCCACCAGAAAATAGGATAATCCTCCTTAGTTCATATTTATTACAATGTACCACTGCATATATAGGTTTTATGTGTACATGTTGCGCTTGGCGTTTCCCTGTTGGTCTGTTTGTTTTAGTTAAGACCTAATTTATTTTGTTCATTGTATAGAAATACAAACACTAAGTGTACACCGTACGTTTCGTATAATCCACCTTAACACTTTTGATCCTTATCGACCTACACCGCTCAGACTATTGCAAAGTATTTGTCAAATTGAGCCATGCTTTCTACAGTCGTTATCACATAGCATATGTGTTATTTGATACATGCTATACAATGCAACGTTAAACACATGCACGGAACTTAAAAACAAAAAGTGCTGGAGTATATATATATATATATATTTAATGGTATGTGGAAATAGTGAAATACAGTCTCGCGTTCCTCTAGAATATGGTTTGATTTTGAAGTAGTATGCATTACATATCGAAGAGCGTATACCGTTAACGTTGATCGATCTATCGATGTTGTACGTCAGACTGATCCGACTTTGTCGCTAATCAAAACAAAACACGAAAATCGCATTACAGGTATTGGACTTATCCGGGGAACGGGATATAGGTGTTTAGTCGTGAACATCGCCAGCATAGTGATTAGTATGTAATGATGTAGACAGGGAAACAGGTGTTAATTACAGCATCAGAATTCTCCAGGAGGACCTATATATACGACATTTAGAACACGTGCTGTACAGGTAAGTCACGTTCACGACTCGGGTTGTGTAATATCAATTTTACTCGTGTAATATATATAATGTATATAGCAATAGGCTTATTTCAATTTATTTTAATAGTGCATGTCATATAAACTTCATATAAAATTCGTAGTACGAGGCATTGAATCGAATTGTCATATCCTGTAGACTTATAAACGTATTAGCATTGCCGTTAAAAAGATATAGTATTTGTCCATTTACATACCCACGTTGTTAAAATATCTAGAATTTATTGAAATGTGTACATGTATCTTCAGTCAAGTACAGAGTGTAAGCATTCAACCATGATTCCTTTATAGGAAATATTAAAAGATCCTCATACACACTAGCCGATATTCAATAAATTAACAACGCGTTCATGTATGTACGACATTTAAACAGACCAATTGGCTAGCTCATTAAACATTGTTGATCTAACACATTCTTCTACACCTACCATACGTTTGCTTCCTTAATGTTTGTTTTTTCAATTGTCATGATTTTCAATTACGTGCCTCCTTTTGTTGCTTTTCTAGTGCTTATTTGTTAATGGCAACGATCTGACAATCAGATTCGTATGTGAATATACATGTTTATGAAAAATAGAAGATTATGATGTCGTTGTAATCAAATAATTTATTTATTTTATTTACGCTGACATGTGACTTAACGTATAACTGAATGCATGGATTTGAGATATGATGTTCACTGTTAAGTTTATTTCTTGATAATTGAATTCACACTCTAACACTTTGTAAACTTATTACTAGGTCGCGTAATGTACAATTCATAGATAACGCCCGCTTTGTGTGAACATACTCTCTTCATTGTACAAGAAAGAGTCACATCAAACACTGGTATGCTGAAGTTGGAGTAGGTGGCAAGTTGATACTGATTGGGCTTGAAAACCTGCTTAACTATTTAGTCACCATCCAAATTATTCATCATGCTTTTTTATCGTTTTGAATGCACAATATGTTTAGCTTTAAATAAAATGTATTCAGAAAATAAAACCTTCCGATTGCATTATAAAGAAAGCGCGTTTATTTTAGGTTTGATATTAATTTAAATGTGAGATATACTTTTTAAATATCCACACCGTATTTTGCTACGACTGGCGGCACGTGCCTTGTTACTCGATATACGTATAACATATACGGATCATTGATGAATTAACAGGCATTTGGAAACATGCCGATCGTCAGATTGCTTTTAATCAGGAATTGCAGACTATTAATTACAAGAGGATTAGTTCTAATCTACGTTATCGTTCCTTGTGTAATACACATAATACCCCACGGTCAGCTCGAGTGTAGTCGAGTCTTTGGGAATTACAATACACCTCAAGCTACATTGTGTTTCGAAAAAGATCGGGCCAAAACAAACCCAATGCACCACTGAACGAATTCGGAACGTTGTAATCCTTTTAAGACACAAAGGAACTTCTCAGAAAACATTTCTTTTGGGTTTTATAATTACTAATATGCCTTATCTTTATATCTTATATTTTCTGGCGATGACCGATTTAAGTTGTGCTACTTTCAGATAAGTGGGAAGACATGTCAGTTATACGTTCCTCAGTGAGGACTCCTCACCCGAAGATGCCCTGGGGTACGATCATAAAGCCAGAGTTTGAGATGGGGCACCAAAAGATGACGGGTTACGAGATAGACCAGACGGTAGAGCGGTTATACAAAGTACAGCCAATGAAGGAGAGGGTCTACGAAAGGCCAGGACCCAAACTGCCTTCTGAGGAGGCAGACCAAATTGTAAGTATATGCCCAAGTCGTTTTGAAACTTTTTATAATTATTAATTTCAATATTCATTTGTTAAAAGTTTTTTAAATTATGTTATGTATTTGAAATTTTAGGCTCACGAATGCATGTGTTTATAAGATTGTTAGCTTTACACTAATATTTCGAATAATTACATTATGAAGTCGGTCTTCTTTTGCACCCCTTCAAATGATGTTAGAAGTTGGATACGTAAATATGTTATTCCTTTTCTTGTAATGGTACTGCTATAGTGTGTGCTGTTCATGTTTCTTTTTTATTTGTATACAAAATTTTTGCCTTTTCATTTTATATTAAAATGTTTCCAGTAAGTTGATATCAAACTAGATTATGATATCCAGTTTCCCTTTTCGCAGTTTACAAGGCTAAGCACGCTAACAGAACGGACCCACGTCCCGGATAGTGATCGCAGGGTGGTGAAATCAATGAACTCTTCTATGGGTGTTGTCAGTTCGTACGCATGGAAGGGCTTCAACTGACCGACATACCCAAACCAAACTGATCATCTGCCACGAACATAAAAATCATCTGGAGAGTGCCATGTCATCACATTGACAGCGACGTTATTCTGGTTTTGCTATTCAAAACAGTGTGTTCAAGCTGATTAGCGTTTACTCGTCGTCAATAGGCAATAGGCTGCCAGAGAGTGTCTACGTTTAATTATTAAGATTTTGTGCTAAGCTTTTAATTACTTAATACGAATGAAATTTGTTTACTAAGTGTATGTACGATTGCAATGTCTGCCGACATATGAACATGCATACTAATTTACTGCCAAAAATATATGATTTTCGTACATAAACAACAGTAAGATAAGTCCATTACAGTGGAATTTGTGGAATCGGAAATTTCATAAAATCTATTGTTTGTTGGATGCATGTACAACTTGACCGTAAGTTAGGCTGAAGTCAGTTACAGTTGTGTTTCATTAAGCTGGGACAGATAATAATCCGGAGAAAATGTTTATATAATTGTGATCCAAGTATTAGGACTAAAATACATATTGCGTACATTTAAATTTGTGTGCATTTCTAATCAAGGTTCACTTGTGCTCAATGCTTCCATTGCAATATGTAATTTGTGTGAACCAAATTGTCTTGGTTCTATATGAACTTGAATGTTAAATGAATGTGTTGAAAAATAAACAGTAGTTGAATTACCATGCCAAATACTGAATGAATGATGAACATAACAGCAATGAAATGAATATTTGTATTTTACGTTTTACAATGCCTTTGTTGTTATTATGAAATCTGTTAGTGAAAACACTAACAAAATAAATTACGTGTATAATTCAGTTTTCAAAATCATCAACCGAGATTATGCTTTGATCGATAAGGTACATGTATGCGGACGGAACTAAAGGTCTCTTTACTGTATTTTGACGATAAGACGATATAGGAACGGCTACAAAATTCGCGATAAGATGTGCTAGCATTTACGATTTTTGAGATGGTGCTTTTATCTACCTAAAATGAAGGTAAATAGCTTTTTATATAATGTTTTCAAATAAAACATTCGTATAGTTTCATATTTCTTAAAAAAATCAAATCTTTAAGTAATTTGCATGTTATCAAGTCTAGTCATTGACTTAAAACGTAGGACGTTTATAGTTATACATGCGATAGAAATAACGCGAATTGTATATGGATCAGTGGGAAGATGAAATGTCCTCTCAAAATTTGCTAGACAGTAAACTTATTATTTTTATTGGTATTGACTACGGATATGCCAAATATTTTTACTTTATAGAAGTCATCTTACGTTGTTAGGATTGTATACTTCAGAAAATAGAAACATGCATATTATTATTGCCAAAACAAAACATTTTACGGTACTCTGTCAGACTCGCAATAGACTGAACAAATAACTAAGAAAATAGAATACCATGAAAAAACTAACAAACTGAATTCAATGAATAAATCTAAACGCTGAGCGCACAACGACACACATCAACCAGGTATTGTTCTTATCATCTAACACCATGATAATGAATAATGTGACTGAAAAACTGAAGACTTTCAAGATTTCACAACAAGTAAAACCAACATGATATCATGCCATACATGTACTTAGAAAAACAAAAACCTTTATATTTTCTTCTTATTTTTACGTATCGAAATTCTATAATTACACATGATATCATCTGTTCTATATGGATTTCAAAAAGTCGAAGTAGTTGAAACCAAAAGAACTCAATAACTATTTATTAGTGAAAAATAAGCTTTTTATCAAAGAACACTTTACATAATAATATGCCACTACAGAGTATTGATCAGGACGAGAGAAAGAAGAATAGGTTAAGTCATCTTAACAAATCTAGTACAATTAATCAGCACAAGAGAAGAAGAAAAGGTTTAGTCATTTTATCAAGTCTCGTACAATTGATCAGCACAAGAGAAAGAAGAATAGGTTTAGTCATTTTAGTAAATCTAGTACTTACAACAAATCCTACAATGGTGTGCCCAAAACAACAAAACACAATGTTCTTTAAACCAACTTTCACATTATTTCGTTCTTATAGGAAAACAATCTTACAACATCAACTTTTCTGAGGATATCGACGTTTACACGATCCACGACCCTTTGGAACACTGACAGAAGCGGGATATTCGCAGGGGAAGGAAGTGGGTGGCGGGGCGAGAATCGTTCTTTGGACGTTCGCTGTCTTCCACCAAGATCGGCGTGAAGAACAAATCCTCTTCACCACACGTTATCACAGGCCCACAATTGCTGCAGCTGTGCAAGAGAGAAAAGAATGTTTATGGGTGTACTATAATAGTTTCATAAAAGACTGTAGCTGCCATTTACCATCCATCATAAACCGATATGCCTGAAACAAAACTATCCCACTTAGTAATATTTAAAGTTATTACTTTCTGCCAAAGTAATTTTTTCGCATGTTTTGTTATTTTCCAGGTACTACTGCAAAAGTATTGTTGTCTATATTCATGTAGGACAACAGTTACATAGATATGAAAAGAAATGAACCGGTCTCCGATAATTATTGCTGGCAAATAACCTACACCGTAAACGTATTTATCCCTGAGAGACCATACCCTTTCAATGAGGTTCATTTGATAAATGTTTATATAAAACTTATTCAATAATGTACCGTTTTTGCCGATGCCACTGAAAGGGCATTTCACTAGTATATATATATACAAAATATGCTAAACACGTTACATATTGCAGTTCGTCTCTGGCAAAACATAACACCAGAATAAACGGCAATAAATAGTACTCCGATGGATAAGCAGTTAAAAAAATAATGCAGTAACATTCCAAAAAGTGATGTTTATAATACATTCTGGCACTCCCGGTATGTATAGCTAGTTAAATATGAAATGATTTCCAAGAGATTGACACTTCAAATTATGAAAACAGCTATTTTTTCCAAACTGATTGCAACAAAATACATTTTTATTGCTTCACAAACGGAGATTTTATATAGGTTGCCGTCTAAACTTCTTCTGTAAATACACATATACCAGTTCATTTGTAACCGTCTTTTGTTATTTGTCATCAATATACGTACATGTGCGTATTCATCAGATGGTGATAACGATATTTTTACAAATCCAAATCCAATGAATCCTCTGAATTTATATCGGTTATGGACAAAAGTGTGTTCTTTTATTGTACTTTTATATCTTGGACACAGCGATAATGTACAACATACAATAAAGATGGATTTTGGCCGAATTTTACACGTTATATTACACGTTCATTGTCTATAATGAATAGCAATCTGTCGCCATAAGTCAGAGGTTAAACCACAAATAGGCCGAACTAATAGGTTTTAGTCAAAATGGCACACTTAAACGTCAGTTTTCTGTATACTTACGAACAGACGCCTTGGAAGATGACCTGGTACTTGTTATGTTTTTGCACAACGTTGTATTCAGTGTTGTTGTACATCACTTTCCATACGCGGTCTGCCACCCATTGTCTGTGAAATACAGAAATGTTTTGAAATATTCCCCTGCACAAGAGAAAATAACAAAAAATACTAGAAATAGGAGGACATGCAAGACCTATTGGAAAAGTCTGTTTGTAGATGCAGAAAGACAAACGAAGAACACATGAGGCCATTTCGTCAATTAAAGAATATCTCTGGTACTGAAGGTCAAAGAATGACAAAACCCCGCAACTAATAAATTCTGAAACATGTAAAATACAGTGATAAATAAAATGTGCCTATAAACTCTTTATAACGTTACATGTACTATATTTTTACTTTAACTAGTATATCGTGTAAACCCAGACAGAATACATTTCAGCAAAGGCACGGACAACCTCGGGAACTGATAGTCAACCACCTTGCTACGTAAAATAATCACTAGAAATACAAAGGGAAAAGAAAAAAACCCATTGAACTGAAATATTTCTACTTTGGATAAGATCTGTACGAGTTCATGTAAAACATTTATCTAATGAACGAACATTTTTTAAGACGTGATTTCATTGCGTCGGTAAAGGTGATTTTGGTATGTTATAGTGGAGTAAACAACGATACCAGTAAGCGTTTTGCTAATTAGGTCAGGCTACAAAGCATCCTGGTTATTTTCATATCACGTTTCCAAATGGCTGAACTTTGTCTTTTTACTGCTATCTATAACAACATTTTAAAGGAGCAATCACCTCTGTATGTATGTTACGTTCATCATTAATTAATTTGTTTCGTTTCAGTTTTACTGGTACAAAAGATTATCACATGCATTTAGCAGCCTTAAAATCCGTCCATATCAATTTATGGTGCTATGAACTGTACTTACGTTTGACAACAAGACGGACACGTACGCCTTTTTGATCGTTCGGGACATTCCTCTTCCACCTTCTCCTTTCTGCTCTTGGGTAGCCTTCTCTTCCATTTTCCAGGAGTGAAGCGGAAGGAACGGTCTTTATCCTTGATGGTTGCTAACAACAGGGACCCCATGTCCTCCTTCAGCCCTTTTATTTCATCGTTGGAAAAGAAGAGGCCATTGTAATCAGTCAGGTCATATTTGTCACCACTGTAATGACCTTCGTTGTCAGGAAAAATGGCAAAACAAACGGCAAGTGCAAAACACCCACCTTGCATTTCGGCTTCCTTAAAAAGAGTATTAGTGTTAAACGACGAAAATAAGTAATCTCTTGCCGTTAGAAGCGAATTGCATATGTTGGTGATGGAGAGAAAGTTCTTATTTTATACTATTTAAGATTTAAGATGTTTTGTCGCTCAAACCATTATCTGCTTGTGCAGAGGTCAAGTGTGTCTTATATCCACCGTTGTAATGTGTGTTTGGCTCAAGGGCCATCATCGTTTTGTTATACCTGAATCGATTTCGTAGTTCTTTAAAATCACCTGTATACTGTAGAACTAAGGCAGACAAGGGAAACCATCAACGACAGGTGGTCCGTATACGTCATGATCGTAATCTCCTTTGTCAATCTGCATCTCTGAGAAAGACAATACTAGCCAGACAAAGACGCTTGATGCAGGGGAGCAAAGCTGTCATCATAACAACAATAAATTCGTAAACTCGTCTTTTATCGATTTGATACAAAACAAACAGCAAAACGTTCAACACCAAATAAACCGTGTGACCTCTGCATTCCTTGTTAACATATTGTTCATGTGTCTTTTACAAAGCACGAGGGCAAAATTGAGACAAATTCGACACTCAAACATTTATTGATTCACAAAATCATTCGAGTACTTTATGCTATTATATATTTTGTTTCGAACATATTAAGCAAACCGTTTCGACTAAATAACGTGAAACATAAGATATAATTTCCTTATGGAAAACAAGTTTAATGAAGTAGTTTTTATACGGATAAATGCTCGAAAGCTCCGATACTAGACCTCATCTATCGCAATTGGTAGGTACTCACATACAATACAGGAGCTACGGAATAACCAGAACTTCTGTACATCTTTTTAACAAGCTTGTTACCTTTCATGAAATTTAATTATTAGCAGATCAAAAAGTAGTGCAAATTTGGTTATTGGTACAATGTATGAATATTGTTTTCGATGTTTCTTTGCAAGTCTTTCTTTGGTTCATAGTCAAAATTCCATCGATTATGAGTTAGAGTTACTGATTTTGTGAAAGCTGTATTGTCTCGTGTGATTTATACTTCTCCCATGTACAATTAGAGTTAAAATACTTATTTTTGCTATGATGTATTCATGTTTGGGAGACCCCTAGTATCTCTCTTTATGAATCGTAAGTCAAATTCAACTTGAGTGCGCAACGAAGGCCCTTAAATGTGGATACTACTTAAGTTGTATGCAAGTTCACATTATCAAAATTAGCCATTATATTTTGAACTTTTAAAAATGACAATAATTTCATAACAAGAGATCGCAGAGTGATCTTTGCGCCCACCATTGTAACATCTTCATAAGTTCTCCTTTTTCTCTCTTATTATCTTGTTTGATCGAGGCATGGAAACAGTAAATGCATATTGAGGTAAATCATACTGCTGTGTATAAAATACAACCTTCAAAGTGAGTTTGTCTTTTCACATATTTATTAGTACAGTACTTAATGTTTAAGTCATAGCACCAATCATTGCAATATGAGAAAGTTCTTCCTGCGGCCATCTTGTTTTATGTAAACTCTCAAAATAAAACATGCCAAATTAAGGACCAAGTAGAACCTACATAGCAAATTTGAGAAAGATCCCTCAGGTCGTTTCTGAGAATTAACAACTTTTTCTTTCAAAATCCTAGATGGACGCCTGTCGGCCATTTTGTTTATCCAATCAAGCTCAAAGGTAAACATGCACAACTACTGACCAAGGAGAACCTAAATATCAAATTTGAGAAAGATTCTTTCTGTAATTTCTGAGTTATAGCGCTATCAAACTTTAACTCTTAACATTCAAGATTGCGCCTATCGGCCATTTTGATTTTTCGATCCGTCCCAAAATTAGTTATGCATAAATAAGGACCATGGGGAACCTTCATGTTAAATATGAGAAAGATCCCTTAAGTCCTTTCTGTGAAATAGCACTAACAAACTTTAACCCTTAAAACTCAAAAAAGTGCCTGTCATCCATTTTGGTTTTCTGATCAGTCCCAAAATCCGATATGCATAATTAAGGACCATGGGGAACCTAAATATGAAATTTGAGAAAGATCTCTCTAGCATTTTCTGATATATAGCGCTAACAAACTTTAACTCCCAAATTAAAAATGGCTGGCTTTCGGCCATCTCGGTTTTTTTTATCATCCCCAAAAAATGATATGCAGAACTATAAGGACCATGGGGAACCTTCACGTGAAATTTGTTAAAGATCCCTCCGGTACTTTCTGATAAATAGCTCTAACGAACTTTAACCCTTAAAACTCAAAATAGTGCCTGTCATCCATCTTGGTTTTCTGATCAGTCCCAAAATCCGATATGCATAATTAAGGACCATGGGGAACCTAAATATGAAATTTGAGAAAGATCCCTCCAGTACTTTCTGATAAATAGCTCTAACGAACTTTAACTCTAAAATTAAATATGGCTTTCTGTCGGCCATCTTGGGTTTTTATCAGTCCAAAAAACGATATGCATAACTAGGGACCATGGGGAACTTAATGTAAAATTCGAAGAAAGATCCTTCCAGCACTTTCTGATAAATAACGCTAACAAGAATTGTTTCAGGACGGACGGAATGACGGTAAGACGGACGGACCACGGACCACGGACGAAGGGCGATTTGATGATAGTGGGCTAATAAAACACCAGGTAAATGTGTATATCATTCATTTTACCAAGTAGATAAAAAAGGTATATCTACCTGTCTCTAACCTCAAACTGTACATTAGATGGGGGCGTTTCACCTGATAGGTCGAGAGAAGAACTGCTCAGAGATTGACTACAAAATAAACCTACAGATCAAATGATACATTTTAGTAATTATTTTCTAACATTCAAGATAAACATCCTACGAAACAGGCAAGTATACAATTTTACTCTTTAACGAATTGCTTCAATATGATTTGTAGATATAATCTAAGTAAAGATAATGGAGTTTTAAGGATACAGAAAAAGGTACTGTTATCATATTGGAGGAGTAAGTACTGGTATTGCGATACATTGGAGGAGGGTACATGTATTGTAAGTACTGGTATTGTGATACTTTGGAGGAGGATACATGTATTGAAAGTACTGGTATTGTAATACTTTGGAGGAGGATACATGTATTGTAAGTACTGGTATTGTAATACTTTGGAGGAGGATACATGTATTGTAAGTACTGGTATTGTGATACTTTGGAGGAGGGTACATGTATTGTAAGTACTGGTATTGTGATAC